TCTCTCTCTCTCTCTCTCTCTCTCTCTCTCTCTCTCTCATGAGCGTGCACTCTCCCTATCTTGCTGTCTCTCAAAATAAATAAACATTTAAAAAAGAAAGAAACTTTATGGTTAAGCAACAGATTAGACACATCTAAAAGGAGAATGAACCGGAAGTAGATTTGAGGTTACAAAGATGGAACACAGGGATACAGAGAAATAGAAACTGAGGAAAGGATTAAAATACATAGGAAGAACAAAACATGGAAGATAGATTAAGAAGGTATAATACATATAATCTGAAATCCAGAGAAGAGAATATTTTAAAGAGGCTGAGAATTTTCTAGAATTGAAATTTATAAGCAGTAAGATTCAGAAAGCCCTATTAATTCCAAGCAGGAAACAAATTGATGGCTGGCTCAGTCAGTAGAGCATGCAACTCTTGATCTTGCCCCACCTTGGGCATAGTTTTTTGTTTTTTGTTTTTTAATGTGATAAATCATGAAATTACTACGTTTTAAAGACTAACATCTAAAAAACAGTCATAAGGAAAAGGAAGAGAGGTAGAATTAGAAGCTAGGATATCTAATGCTTTATGCTTCTGGAATGGAGGAGTAGATGTAATTCTGATGACTGAACTATGAAATGAGCATAAAGTGTTTGTCCCCCAAGTGATTGTAAGCTGAGGGCTAAAGCTACCAGGATATTTTATCTTGCCCAGAGGGATCCAGTGCTCCAGGGTCCCTGATGCCACATAGATCAATCCTAAGAACAGATTCTGACAGATAAAAGAAAAAGACTATTGAACTATTGGGCTCAAAAAACACTAAGAAGGTAATAGAAAAGCTCAAAAAAAAAAAAAAAAATCTGGTTGGCAGCTAAGTCTGAGCAGTTAAAAAAGCACTCTAAATGCTATCTTGGAACGAGAGTGTTGTGAAGATGCCCCTGTTGCCACCAGTGGTATTCCACTTTCCTTCTTGTTTTGCTCTAGATTCAGAAATTCCTGGCAGAGGCATTTGATTAGCTAAACCTTGGTTATATGGCTGCAAGGGGAATGCTGGGAAAGCAAGTATCTGGTCTTTTATATGGTGAGGGGTGGGCTTTATCTTCAACTTCAATTTGTGTGAGGTTTCCAAGCATAAGAAGGGGGTTTAGGGGTGCCTGAGGGGCTCACTTGGTTAAGTGTCTGACTTTGGCTCAAGTTACAATCTCGTGGTTCATGAGTTCCAGCCCCGGAGCATTGGGCTCTCTGCTGTCCTTGCAGAGCCTGCTTCAGATCTTCTGTCTCCCCACTCTCTCTGTGCCCCTCCCCTGCTCGCTCACTCTCTCTCAAAAATAAATATTAAAAAAAAAAAAAAGAGGGGGGTTCAGATGAAAGGTAGTCAAGAACATACCTGCATGTCCATCACAAGGCTGTATTGGCCCCACCACGCCTTCAGCCTGCTACTCTTCCCCTTCATCAAGGGCCCACAGGAGTCATTGGAGAGCTCTGAGCTTCAGCGATGGGTTAGTCGGTCTACTTGCTTTTTGATTTTTATTGGGAATATATTGAGTTGAGATATAATTGATATTACACACTTGACTTCCTCCACCCATTTAACTTGTACAATGTGATGGTTTTTAGTATATTCGGAGTTGTGTAACCATCCCAATTTTGTAACATTTTTGACACCCCAAAAAGAAACCCCATATCCTCTAGCAGACACTCCCCCATTTCTTCCCAGTCTCCCCAGCTCTAGGCAGCCACTAAACCACTTTCTGGCTCTAGATTTGCCTGTTTTGGAGCATTTCACATAAGTGGAATTAATATGTGATCCTTTATGTGCAAACCAGATCTGGGATAAAGAAATAGAGGCTATGAGAATGGTCTCACAAAAGGGTCAGGGTAGCAAACTTCTGTCCCAAGTCACGCAGGAAGTGTGTGCCTTGTAGGGATTGAAAGTCCTGAGGGCAGGGGAAGAGGCTTAGGTCTTTACTGGCCCAGTGCCTGTTGCCTGTCTTCTGCCTCATAGAAGAACATGGACCAACCAGGTGGTTCTGCTCTGAGAACCACCAACAGCATCATGGGGCCACCATACTGCAAAGTAAAGCAATCATGGGCCTTCTGTGGCTACCCTGTTTGCCCTCTTTTGCTGTCTTGTCCTGGGCATCCTTACTCTCCTGAGCCCTGGCCTGTTTCCCTTACAGATTCTATTCCAAATCTCAGTCCTGGGTGGCACACAGTTCCCTGTCTGGCCTCTGTGCCCTCTCTTACCACCTGACTCTTCCTCACTCCTCCCCACCTCCTTTCTTCTGTAGCCTTCTCCCTTATCTCTTGGCTGCAATAACCTTGGACTCAGGATGCCTGGGTCACTCCTTCCTCACTCCCTTAATCACCCCTGCCAGGATGCAGAACTTCACCCCTGGCACTGGGTTCCCTGGCCTGACCTGCCCTCCTCGTGTGGGTGGGGCCAGGGGAGTCCATTCTAGCAGCACAGAGCAAACCTCCGTGACAGTGGCCTGTTGCTGCTACTAGTGGGAGTCTGGCTTCGGCGACCATATGGCTCTGCATGACCAGAAGCTTGTGGGAGCTGCAGTTCCTCCTAGTTCTGCTTCCAGCCCAGATCCTGAAGCTTAGAGACAGAATACACTCTCAGGCTCCTGGGTACCTACAGTAGCCACAAACGTCCTTTGTCACTTTCACCCTGTCAGCCTTACCTAGGGAAGATGCCCTGTATTATCCTAACTGCTGGGTGTGGGAGCCAAGAGAGGGCCTCATTAGCATGTCAAATGCTCCCATACCTGGTGCTCATCAGAACCCAGAGTGACTCTGGTCCAATTCTACAAATGAAAGAAGATGGAGCCGTGCTTAACAGTCTGCCCAAGTTACAAGCCATCCAGTGCATGGCAAGGGGAACTCGGGTCTCCAACCTGCCAGGTGAAAACACTTCTGGCCACATACTGAGAAGGGGTTGGGGGGGGGGTCTATCCCTGTTCACTTAATTCCCCTCCTGAGAGGGGCTGCTAAGTCACACCTGACTCCCTCCACCTTTCTCCCCAGGCTGCCATCCTCACCCTAATAGTGACTCCTGGCATGGGACGACAGTGTCAGAGCCAGAGGGCTGGCTCCTTTCCCCTTTTAGCCAGGAAAGTCCCTGCTGCCCCTGTCAGATCCTTAGCAGTCACCACGCCAGCCATGTAACCAAACTCCTGCATTTTATTTCTGTAGAAAGCCCTGATCCCATCTCCAGGACTACCGGAAGGTAGAGAAGCTCTGGGTGCCTGTGCAGGAGGCATAAGGCACGCCCCGGGAGCGAATCTGCAGGGTATGGAAGGTGAGGGGTGGGTTGGGGCCCGAGGAGCCTGGGTTCAGGGACTCGGTGTGAGGCTCCATCACAGTCACAGGGACTGCATAGGACAGCGTCTGGGGCCGGTCATCATGGCGCCTCACTGTGCCCTTGCTCAGGAGGTGCAGGATGCAGGAGAGGACATCGGTACTGTTGCAGGCAGATCCCCTACCGAGGCTGCTGACCAAACCCCTGGGAGGACATGGGCCCTTCTGCCAAGCGTCCAGGACCTGGGAAGGAGAGGGAAGGGCGAACAGCAGGTTGGAGAGACCCAGCTCACTCCACCTCTAGCTTCCACTCCAGGCACAAGCCTCAGCCAGCGAGCTCTAAGGACATCAGGCACGCCCCAACCCCACCCCTTACACACGTACAGGCTCCGTAGTGAACCAGAGGCTTCAAACATGGACCCACCTCCCCCTGCTCCCGCCCACCCCCACCCGAAAGTTCCTTCCCCCACTGCCCAGCCCCACCAACCCGGCAGACAAGCTGGTCAATATGCAGCCCCTCATCCCCATGGGCCTTGAGGATTCGGACAACGAGGCAATTCAAAA